CCCCAGAACCCTATTATGATCATTAAGGCCCCTATATAAGCCCTAGGGCTCCATGCGTGTTTCAGCATTCCTTCAAGGATAGTGTTGGCGAGTTATGTGGGTGCAGGGTTAGTACATGCTGTGGCCTTGATACAGGGGTTCCTGTATAGGTGTTTGAAGAGTTCATGGTCCAAGTGCTTTCGGTTAATAAACTCTCCTGAATGTTTAGCTACGCAAGCTACTATCCTAAACTCAAGTACCTTATGATCTTTTCCTGTAGACTCGTTTGGTTAAGGACACGGACCATGCGCAGGGCAAACCCCAAAGAGGTTGCTTGGGAGCAGAGGAAATACAGCACCAGTACTTGTCAGGATGATATGGTTCATGAGGGTTCTCATATCTCATTTGGCTGCCATGATACATGGGCCTGAGGTTTGCATCCACTCTCAGTGATCGTTGCAGTTGAGTCTGGGGTTACTCCGATGGACTGAGAGTGCCAGAATCTTGTACAGTACGCTTTCAGGGCCCTTCAACGCCCGATAACATCTTGATTAAGCTGGTTGGAAGCTCTTAATCATGGTTTGTTTTCAGGGTCCTTAATTAATACTGTATTTGTAGTATTACATACCTCATCACCCCGCACTTATAGTTACTACAGTCCCTTACATTATGCGAAGAAGCTCCCTGTAGTTTAAGGTTGAAGGCGCCGGGCTAAGGGGGTCCCACAGTTCCAAGGTTTCGTGCGGGTCCTTCAAAATAGGCGTGCCAAGCGAACACTACTTGTGGAGCATCCACACTCAATGGGGGGGATACTCACGCAAGCACACAACCGGAGTATCTACCAGAGAGACCTACTTTGTATCATGTGGGAGTTTCCGAAAATAGGGGACCCCAATATAGTACCCTAAATAGTATCCTTATTATAAGGATCCCAAAATAAGCCCCATAATCTTCGGAAACTCCCATGTAGGTACTTAAGACCCTTCAAAACTACGAAGCCCTGCAGGGACCAGGAGCCGCACGCCTCTCATGCTCGAACTAAAGCCCTTCTCTAAGGCTCCATGTACCCTTAAAGCATATACTTTGGCCTTAAAGTAGCTACATGGGGACCCCTTTCAGGCTGAAGTATCTACGATCTAGGTACATGACCCCGAGCACCATGATTCATCGAAATCCCAGGTACCCGAAATCCCAAACCCTGAAACCCTAAACCCCAAACGGCCCGAAGCCCAAGTCCTTAGTCTTAAACCCTAACCCTTCAGCATGTGAGCCAGGTTAGGATTCCGAACTTCGGTGCTTGCGGTGCAGGGCCCTCATAGGACGTCGGAACCTATGTGCGAAGCTTTGCGCTTTGGTAAGATTGGGTACTTCAAGTCGATGTTTAGATGAAAGTTTCGTATCTGAGTGTGACTTCTGCCCGCGCTCCGTGGCTACATGGCTTCTGCAGGTGGCACGTCCAATAATACAGCGGAGCCCGGAGAGCCAGAACCTGAATCCACCCTGGGGCGTAACTCCCATAATCTGGGATCCTAAGCCGCTTACATCACATCACATACATCAGAATCGCTTGATCACCTTAGACTCCTACACGTACAATTGTACAAGCCCTCTTCACAGCAGCGACATCCATCCAGCTGCAAGCCTTGTATGATAGATGGGTCAGCACAGTTAGTGGGCAATCATATCCCCTGTATCGCCTCAAATATGAATAGAAGCATATAGATGTTAAACCCTCCGGACCCTATTCTGTACTCTGCAGTATGCCTGTATAGAGGGCCTTTCTTCAATCAATCTCAAGACCAGCCGCCCTGTCCGAGCGTGCGCGCCCATGGCTCCGGAGACAAGATGCGACCTGGGAAGTCGACCCTTGGCGCTGTGTGCCTTCGGCGTTGAAATCCCAGGGTTTACTAACCATTGATATTGGAGGAGCTAAGGAGTAAGGGATGATGATAATCCCTATTATATAAGGAGCTAAAGAAAGAGCCAAGGGAACCCCACAACCACTGGTTAGTTTATGCAGGCTGTACAGCTCGGGGTTTAGGGTTCAAGGCCTAGTATATCATTTCATACAAAGCTTCTACACAAACCCGCAGTATTCATGGGGTTGTGAGTCTTGAAATCCTGCTCCACAAAGCACATCCATGCAGGTGTCCCTGGATTTTCGCCTGCTTGCTGCACCGCACATGGGCCGCTGGGACTGACGTGAATTTAAGGTTTTGGGCTTAGGGGGTTAGGGTTTAGCGGTTCAGAGTTCAGGGGTTTGGCTTGCAGGGTTTAGGGGTTTAGAGTTTAGGGCTACAGGCATTTAGAGCGTTGTGGTGCTTCGGGTTCAAGCATCTGCCTCTTGGCTCGCCGTTTGGTGTCTTAGCTTGCAAGGTATACACCTGGGGCTCTAAGGACTCAAATAAAAGCTTTTGCTACTTTGATCCCTGGGGTAAAACCTAAACCCTAAACCTTTTTGGGTGTATATAGCAGGTAGGGCGAGTGTTTAGCCGCAAATGGGTTTCTGCTGAAAGGGTGC